TGTGTACTTAAGTACGTAAAAGAACGAGAAGAGAAACGATCTTAATAAGAAAAAACAAATTATCATTAGTACCTATTGGGATTTTAGAGAAAGCCGATAGTCTAGCAAAACCACTACTACAAATTATCGTGAAAGGTTTTTTTAAACAATCGTATTGGTAGATTTCGCCAATAGCAGAGAGCAAATAAAAAAATATGGTGGGTGATACGGTTGTGATTCATTACTAGTTTGCAATGTATAGTCATAAATCCTTGAAATAAATGTTTTTTTACACATTATTTTACCTGTCAGACTATTTGGCGCGTATCATCGATGTATCTAACGCATTTTATGCATATTTAGTCAATCGAAAACAGACCGGTTGTTTATACAATACAAGTAGAAATCCAACACTTGGGGCTTCGGGAAAAAAATATAAAACTTTACTGTACATAATATATTTGTGCATGAGGCTACATCATCACCTGTCGTTTGTAGTATGTATACTTAAATCGTGTCGGGGAAGGGAAACGGAAGGAAACCGTCGGTCCATCTGGTTGGTCAACGTATTTATCTATAGTATCGAGTGTCATAATTATTAGTTTTTCCCCTTTGGTTGGAAACTTGTCGTTCACGGGTTATTAGGATATCCGAGACGTTTGTCATATACGCATATGGGCATCCAGAAAACATCTTGCTGTAACTTCACCGATTCCCGTCGTATATGTTGATGGGTTTCAGTACAGTTTTTTATAGTACTAAAGAAAAAACTCGGTATACTTCACTTTTAATTATTGTATAGCTATATTATTGCTGTTGTAGAAGTACACGAGTTATTTAGGTGTAATTTTAAACATAAATATGTGATATTAATAGTTTTCAACTATATGTGTTGGTCAATATAGAAAATGGATTCAACGTACGGGGATTAAAATGAATTATTAACTGAAAACAGTACGGTCGATTCTCGAGGGACTAATTCCTTTTTGAAGTGTTCTTAACGTTCAACCGAATTTTATAATTTATTCAGTTAAAGTAAATGTAATATATTAAACAACCAAATCCCGTTGTATAAAAATACAGCTTTTCTTTTTTTTTTTCTTGAACATTTTATATTGCATAACATATATCATTTTATAAATTATATTTATATATATATATATATATAAATACAATTCTATAGTGAAATTAATACAAATTGTACTTGCACCAAGACGCGATAAATGCGTCGCCGTATAGTGATTCCGATGCCCTGAGTGTTCCAATTAATTTACACCGTACGGTCATTTGCATATTCGCTATTGATAAATAATCATGTTATTTATATCAGGTTACCGCCGTACTATATATTACTATATAACTCCAACAGAGTAATTCAATTTCCGGTTGCCGTGTTCCGGAATATAGTGAACTATCTTTAATGTTGTTGCTAGTATGCTGGTAACTATCGTCCAACTACCACATAATAATACAGCTAGTTTTACTTCTATATCATTTTACATATATATATTTTATATCAATTACCTATCTGTTTTGTGATGCTTGTGACTAAATTTCTAGTTTCTTTAGTTATTCGTTCAAAACACGCGTATACAGAATAATGCATTTATAAAGATAACATTATGTATGTTATGATTATTCTTATATATGAAAATAATAATATAAAGCCATGTTGCACTAAAATCAGTCAGTTTCTTACCACTGTGTAGTGTTTTGAAATATTACAATTTTATTATAAAACGTCATAAACACACAAAATACGATGTGATCGATAATTTGAGTCATAATCGAGTAGTTTAATTGAATCGTTGAACGTGTCTGTTTTAAATAACCTATGTTTTAACGTGTAATATGTATTTTTTAAATCATTCCATTTTTTTGTCACATTCCTATACCAAAAAGTGTTGTAAACTTATGGTTTTTTTTTCAAAAAACGATTTCATAGATTTGTTTGAAATAATGATGAAAAATATAAAAAATATATATATTGTACTTACATAAATTATAAAATACTTTATCGAGTAGACAGTCATTCATCAGTAATGGATGTAGAAAAAACTTTTCTTATTACACCTCAAAGCATTAAAAAAAGCGTACATAAGCAAAATAAGAAATATTTTTGTTTGCTCGATATACTTACATTTTTTGTTCATATATTTCTTTCGGGTTATAGTAACAATTTCGTTTATCTGAGCTTCATAAATCATGTATACATTGCACAATCTCTGCATCGCTTTCCAGATGTTTTCTTATAAGAATCCTCCGTACTCTCCCTTGCCTACATGTCCATAAATATATTTTTCATTTATGCGGTGGCGTGTCTTGGTTTCCAACTGTGCAATTCATATATATTTACAACAGTTTTCGTCTTCAAACGACGTAACGTGATAGCGGCAGCGGGTGCAAGCGCACATAATGTTATTATAATATTTTATCTGAATTGAAAAGGTATATACTTGTATAACATACACTGCACTAGTATTGTACTCGTAAAATTATAAAATTGTACACATTTTTAATGTACGTGGTTTTATTTATTTATTTTTCCCCTTGATGTGTACTGTTAACACAAGTTATTGGTTCAATAATTTGTGTGCTATGCTCATAATGCGGTGTATAGACAATTATTGGCGAATAGTATATATATATATATATATATATATATATATATCAAGCGCGTACACAAGGGGGGTTTTAGGGGTTCAAACCCCTTCCGAAATTCAGGAAAATGATATTAAATATGTTTTTATATAGTAAAATTGGTACTTATATAGATTATATTATTATGAAAATGTACAACCTAAAACCCCTCTCAAAATATTTTTTTGTGTACGTGCCTGATATATATTTATATATATTTTTCTTGGTGATGATAACGCGTGGGTCATGAATAATTCAATGGTCTATATGATATGTGTATATCTCCTATTGCGGTCGCGTCCGCACTACCACCGTTACCTCCTTGTCGTCTCTTGATATAACTACCCTTCTACAGAAAATTCTATAGAGACCGTTTAAATTTCAAATGATTTTCTATGTAGTTTCGTAATATATACATTGAAAAAGATTTGTCTTTTATTACGGTAAGCATCAAATGATGGTTTTCATTGGAAAAAAAAAAAGTTACGAATTATGAATAGTCTGATTAGAATGAGTTTTGTATAGATTTTATGTTATACTATACTCTATATGCGCAAGACTTTGTATTGAAATATGAAGATATAATATAGTAATAATTTACGTAGGCAAACGTTTATTATAGGAATATTACACTTAAGGCCATATCTAGAAATTTTTTTCGGGAGGGGTCCAAAACATGTATATTGTAATTTTATTGAATTTAGATTTCAACTTTTGATATTTGGTTAAAAATAAAACAGAAAAAGATTTAATCTTCTATTATTAAAATTAATATCATATTTTCATATGATATTATGATATAAAATTAAAAGTAGTCAATGATTAAATGGAGCTTAAGTCATTTTTGATTGAAAACTTTTATGTTGTTATTAAAAATAAATAAGTATTTTAAACATTCGTAAAATATTGAAGAAATTTCCGGAGGGGAAGGGTCTAGACACCCTGGAAACTCCCCAGATACGACTTTAACTATACCGTAGTTTTAAAATTTTAAGTACATAATATTTTCGAGTTGAAAACATTTTCGAAAAATTTTTAAAAATATCTTTCATAGTTTCATTGTGGCATATAAAAACATTTAGTTTTTTTGTTTGTATGTGAGAAATTTAATTTTGTTACCAAATTTTATTGCTACATTTAGTATACAGTACATGGTTTTAAATTTAAATCATTTCATTTATAATACACTGTTCTCAATTAAAATAAATTAATTATACATCTAATTTCATGGTTAATGCTCTTGCATGCTGGAATTAATTATTTACTTTTCAACTAAATTTTGTGCAAGATATTATAAGATATATCATTACGTAGTATTCAATCTTGTTTGTTAATAATAAATCGGTGTAGAATATACATTTAGATGAATTAGATAAATTTTATGTTACATAAAAAATATTTTTAAAAATAACAATTCTGTTTTTATTGATGTTAGCAGAAACATTTCATTTTATTTATAAATCATCAAAAAAGGGATAAAAATAATAGTTATTTTTTTGAAGGCATTAAATAACGTGCGGATGAAAAATACTAAAAACTTCATAACTAACTTACCTTTTTTATCTGATCAAGGTACCTGGGTTTCCTGTACCACACAGGAAATTGGGCTCACGGTCTAGTAACCAGGGGTCTGTTGTGTAAATTTAATAATACTATATTTGTTCCCATGGTACATTTTTATACGAATAATACTAAAAATATGTATGACGTGCACTGTTAGATATATTTGTTCATCAGTTTCGTGGGTAATTTTCGGTTAAAAATCTTATTGTTTTGTTTTTTTTTTTTATGTCAAATATTCAAAAAAATTACAAAAATAATTATAACTAAAATGGTGTTTCAGAAAATGAACATGTATTATTGTGCTTCTGAAGTTAGAAATATTAAAAAAACTAACTCGTCTCGTATTAAAAAAAGACAAGAGATAACAAGGGTGTAAAAAAAATTGTTAATTATGATGATTTTTCATTGGGATTTTTAATGGAAACTATTCGTCCAAGGCCATCAGGTCGGCTGGTAAATTTGGTTATTATGTTCTATAATAGCGTGCACACCATTAATTTCAAATGTCCAGTTCGACTCGTACTAATCATTTGTTTACAGTTAATTCAATTTTGAGCATAATACTTGAATGGATAGTTAATTTTAAGTTATAATACGTACAACGCATGTTTCAAGGTTTTCTATTTTATAATTTTTACACTATATTTGAGTTTTTCTGAATAATAATTTGATTCATGATTATAATAACAACCACATAGTTAATAAAATAATTAATTATAACTATGAACTTAGACAATTATGTAATATTTTCGCTTTGTATAATATTATTCCTGTGTTATGATTATAACTATTCGTGAATATCGTACTTTTTGTTACAGACGTCTAGAGATGAACGGCAGACTAGCGCGCCCGAAGCTGCGGGAAATGGGTCCCGAGAACTTTTAGAGGAGACTTTAAAAGGTCCTAAACCGTATCCCAATATTGTTTTACCGATCGGTGGTGGATTCTGGATCGATGGCCAAGATCAAAATGAATACGAACCCACTGCTTCCAGCGGAGCCGGTTCGTGGAATAATAAAATTGAGACAGATGACACGGCAAAAGCTTATCGAAGATACTACATGGGAAGGGTGAGTGTTCTGCTACTTTTTTAAAAGGTTATTATATTATATACAGTTGATTACACAATATTTTTTATTGAAATTTCTTTTTCTTTTTGCTCTTTCTCGATTCTTTCAGAATAAAATACGACAGCGTAGGTACATTACGAAAATTCTATACGATTAGAAATAATTTTAAAATCAAATAGGCCAATGAAAACTTATAATCAAACCGTAATCGATCTTCGTAATAATATAATGTATCCATTAACCTCGTTGGTTTTCCATTATGTACAACGCCGCGATAAACACCACCGCCCGCCGACGAACATGCATTTTGATAATACTACGTCAACATACAAAAAATCCTACCGATACGTGGGGTGATCGTTTGTTATACCCAACACGGTACCACGTTACGAGTAGCTAATATACCGCTGTATGTAGGTGCTCTATAATATTAATAACTAAATGGATTTAAGTAATGAGTAGTATTAGTAACAATAACGTCGCGTACCTATTAATACCTATGTAACTTGTGACTTTCGATTTAGTTCAAGGAAATCGTCTCACAAATCACATTTGTTTTTTATTCAATTCATTGGGATATTTTTTGTATGAATTTTGAACCTACATGACATGTACTCGTATTTTAGTCTCATAAATCTTAACGCACGTTTAGGAGAAGCAACCAGTGATCGCAAAGCATGCTTTGCCGGACGTAACTGCGAAAAGAGGATATGGCATTTTCCAAGAAATCTAATTTTATTACAAATAATTTTCGCAGTTCAATTAATAACAAACACGCAACGTAGTAGTATTCTGTTTAATATTTTATAACGTGACTCTGGGTATCGCGAATACCTATGGCGCCGGCAAAAAATCGATGTCGACTAATATAATACGATATTTTATTTTTTTTTTGTCGGCACAACCCCCGAAGTCGATTACCGCGGTAAAATTGCATTTGCCGTCGTATAATATCAAATAGAATGATTTACGAGCTTACATTTAGGCTAAACTTTGCCTACGGTAAAATTTGTTTTCGAACCTAACAATTTTTTAGTTATTGACATCAAATTAAAATAGAAATGTTTTCGTCTCCCTTTTAAGAAAAAAGGACGGTAACTTCTTCAAGCGCTCTCTTAATATTTCAGAATATTCGTAGGTTATTGTGGAACAATTATTACACCTCTCGAATTAATTCCTAGAGCACTAATAATAGTAGTAACAGACTGTTCCCATGTTTATGAAACGTGTAACGTTTATATCACGTTATGTATACTTACATATTATAGTAACCATATACGAATGTACGTCTTATATACATGCGCAGCAGCCGCTCACAATGGAGACAATAATAGTAATAATAATATTATCATTATTATTATTATTATTATTATTATGTTTTTGATAATAGACCTCGCCATCGTGTTCGTTACGTTGTCATCGTCGTCACGTTACCCACACCTGAAGAAGTTGATGACCTCATAGGTACACCGTGTGGTGTGTATATTATAAGCGATCGCGTTTTGATAACGTTTTCGGTATGTTTATAGTGTTGCGCAATTACGCGAAGGAACATGACACGTGCGCATCTGCAAGTGAAATATTTCAGGGTATAATCAGTCATAATGTAGTTACGCCTGCACGTATATTTTTCGTAATTTGATATACACATTTCACTTCAGCTTGAAATTCGACTTTTCTATTTAAACAATTCCCGTTCGGGATTGTTGCTATCTGCTTATTTGGTATTTAAAAAGCGTGTCGATTAATTTAAGTGTATTTGTATACCTATCTGAATGTTACCATAAACATTCAATAATACTTTTTTTAGAGTTTATTACGTTCAATGCAATTATTTACTTAAGATCGGTCTATTTTTAAAGATTCGTAAAAATGGTTTAGCGCTTTTCGTTCAAAATGTTCTAATTCATTGGTAATAAATATTGACGGCCGTCACATTTTATTATTATATACTTAAAAATAACACATAATATTTACTATTGTTTCGAAACATTGTTCATTCCAACGTCTCTTTGTTGTTCAGTAATTATCAACTATGTAATCCTGCAGTATTCTTATATTGATTAAACGAGCAATAATCATTACTCAACATTAACGCATATACTTAGGAATAGTCAGTGGTTTATTGGAAGGTATACAGAGTATACGACGTATACCCAATATGCTATTTTTATCCATGGCGTATAGCTTATGAGAAATAATCTCTCATAAATATAAATATCATCAAATATTAATGATAAGCGGGTGTACGGCCGTATCTAGCGTATAGTTTATAATTTGACAAATAAAAATAGTAAAACTTTTGGTTATATTTATGACGTGATTCGGTATCGGATATACTATTATTTTTTTCTATTTTTTTTTTTTTTATGAAAAATTCAAATTTGTCTTCATTTAACAAGTTTTCATTATTCCAAATTTTTTTGGTTCCTACCATATGATAGTTACTGCATGAAATAAGGTGTAAACTCATGATTTATTTTAGCAATACATCACTGGGTATAGTAATAATAACAATAGCGGTTATATTTGTATTGACGATGAGCGGTCGATCGTATGTCCTCGTATCCAATGGATATTCTCGTGATCACGACCAATGTTTCACGGCTCCATTCGTGTGATTTCTATGTTTCATTTTTGAAAGAAATAACTATAATAGATACTCGAATGTAACACTATTTGATAAGTACTTGAATCATTTACTGCTATATTTTAATCTGTTCCAGTGGATAACGCGATGTGTTAGGTTGTATGAACAATCATTCGGACACATAAACACACGCGTTAAGAATTTTTTGAGTGATTTATCATAACATGCGCTTAAAATCTATGTTTATTAAATTGTACTGCAGTATATGATGAAACTATTGCAAACAGTCGGCATGCGTGTGATACTATAAATTTTTAGAACAACCAAACGTAATGTTATTATGATAACGTGTATAATATTTTATTATAATATACGTGAGTGGCCATAATACTTTTCTATTTCGACCTTCGTCGTAAATTTCGTTCATCTTCTAAAATAGTTTAAATGCATCGGTCATCATCTCGAAACAATTATCGTCCCACTCAATTTTTTTATTTTCTTCTCGACAATTATTTTCGACGTTGTGAATATGTGTTAAGTGATAATAATGTATTATATACATCCGTATACCGACCGGTTGTTTTATATTAACCAGCTGCGAGTAGGTGTACCTATAATACTGTAGTACCTATACTATAATATTATTGTATTTTGATGTAATATGACTGGTCGTACTTGTCCTACGTTCGTACCTATGTCTTACAAAACTTCTGCAGAACGCGCAACATACAGTCGAACTGAATACTATACATATACGTTCATATAATATTTCCTCAGTAATCCCTAAACAAAAGAATAAATATAATTTTTATGATTTTAATTTAATCAATCAAAAAATATATTTACTTAATGGAAAAATAGTTTATACTATGGAAAAAAAAATAATACAAACAAATCTAAACACATTACTTTCACCGGTCTATTAAATAACTGTAAACCAATCAACCAATGATTAGTTCAAACCAACCAAGTAAAATACTTAGGTCTCATTTTTGACAACATTTTAACTTGGAAAGACTACATTTCGGATAAAAGAAAACAATTTGAAACCAGATTAAATTTACTCTGACCTCTTCTAAGATCCAAATTAAAACCTCAACTCAAAATTTTTATACACAAAACGTTGATTGATCCTGTATAACAGCGGACATCAAATGGCTGCCCATGGAGAAATTTATTCGGCTCGCAGACAAGGGAAGAAAAGTAAAAATCGATGGTAAAATATATTAGTTTTTACCGGCAAAAACAGATATTAAACTGGTTGCCAAGCATATCTTATCGCTCTATGTCTTAAAGTTTGAATGGGTGACCGACTATGGAATGTGCTCATTATACATCTATTACCGCCGGCATACATTGACTTAATTTTCGTTGTATTACGTTGTTACTTGCTTTGTGTTTATTTTGCTTTTATTTGATTATGGATAAGAAAAAGAAATTGAATTTAAAACCGACAGTTTTACTGAATGGACGGAATTATTTTATTTTATTTTACCAAACCGCTCAGGGGCCTTATCAGTTTGTTTGATTTTTTCACCAGAAAGCAGCTGTTTTAGAGTTTTTAATATTAAACATCATTATGAGATTTCCCATGAGTCATTTGCCGAAAAATATTTGGATTATAATAGAAGTTAAAAATATTTGCTCAAAATGTTGATGGCCCCTCGACAATTTTCAAAATTCTCAATGTGGCCCTCCAAAAATATTAATTGTTGACCGCCAGCTTTATGGTATTACGATATTCAAAACTGGGATAATTTTGCTTCAAATTATGAATAAAAAAATCCAGTTTTTCCAATCTACTTGCTTACTCACTATAACACAATTGCCCCGATATGTTAGTAATTAAACCCAACACTCTGATCTGTAAATTAAATGTGTAAACCGTATCACAACAATTTCTTAATTAAATATATCTTGATCCAGCGCTTAGAATCTCCTGGTACATCTAAGCTTTAAGTTATTTAATAAAGTATATTGTCATATACGACGAAAAAGAATTACTAGCATACTACAGCAGCACAGGAATCATAATATGGTCATTTATAAAATTTGGTTAAGTAATACATGGATACTAATATACCTACTATTATATCTACTTTATACTATGTTACTACAACTGTATCATTTGTATTCAGGTGATTGCGCTCGCATTTTGGAAAAACGTATTTTTTTTTATTATTTCTATCTTGAAAAACACAGTATTACTAAAGTAGCTGTTGATCTGCATATATGTGAACATTCGAAATTATTATATTTTACATTCACTGTGTAATACGAGTATAACGTCGGCGTGCATTTTTCCTTACTCGTGTCTGCTTTATTTTCTATGAGTTTAAAAACCATATAATCAAATAGTTGTATACACTCACGCACACACATACATACATGTATAATATAATTTTAAGCT